AACTACTCCTGGGAGGAATAGAGCTTGAGAGCAACAGTGGGCCGCTACACTACACTACGCTGTTTGACCACTAACTGTTAGTGTAGTGGCCTTTTTTTTCCCTGGAAATTCTGTAGTGTTTGCTGACTCTAAACCCCACTACGCTAACTGTTAGTGTAGTGTAAATTTGTCTCTCAAATTTTTTGTTAGTGTTGGCTTCAAATAATATCAGCTAAACTAACAGTTAGTGTAACTTTTTTGTGCTAACAAAATTTTGACTGTCAGAGAGTGTAACTGATTTGAAGCTAACATTTAGTGTAACTTATACCAAATTAAGCTACGCTACACTACACTACATGCCTAGTTACGCTATGCTACGGTAGAAGTTGTAGTGTAGTGTAACTCATCAATTAGAGAAATTGACATGTCAAGTGAGAATTTATGCTCTTGCAGCCTGGCATGCTCTTGAACCCTCTTCCTCTGCTTTCTGTTTCAATGGACAAGTTGTGTGAGCTGTGCATATAACTGATACGCCCAAGGTCCATAGTGACAATTTTCAGTGTCCTATGATTGCACACAATCCCACAGAAAATGAACAGCACAAGATTTAGAGACAAATAAACAGAGGATGTGCCTGGTGAGATTTGTACTCACAACCTCAGCAATGCTGAGTCACATAACAGAGTGCTTCCTTTACCAACTAGGCTACAGACACTTGTCATGGTTAGTTGGGTGGTAATCACCCTGGTTCATGCCAACAGCTCCACCACACTCTGGTGATACATCATGGTTACACCTCAACCCCCCCCCCCCCTTGCTACATGATGTGAAAGTGGAAATTGAACAAGTGTGGGAATGGAACCCAGTAAAGTATGATCTGAGGGGGAATTGAACCCATAATCTCAAGGTAGTCTGACAGGGGAATGTGGTCTTACAAGTAACTGTTAAAAGTTGGCAGGGGACTAAAATTGAGTGGCCCCCAAGACCAACTGAAACAAAATGATGATCAATTGAGGGGATCTGGATGTAGCCCCCCCCAATAAGGCACTGTCTTCAGGGTAGACTGATGCTAGTCATGTGGTCATGTAACTGCATAGTCAGTTACACTAATAGTTGGTGTAACTTTTTGATAAGTTACACTAACTGTTAGTGTAACTGAGGGAACCACTACACTAACTGTTAGTGTAACACATCAAAAGGTTATGCTGGTCTGTAGTGTAGTGGTTTCAACCACTAACACCTCGCCCTGAAAATAAATGCATTCTGTTTTGACATTGACACAACCAAATAAGTTGTGTGTTGAAGACATTTTTAGTGGGGTAAGCCCTCTGAGACCATATACAATCTTTGTCTCACTTTCCCAAGATGGTTAATGTGTACTTTAGTCTGAATCAGGAAAGCAAGACAACACAAGGATTGTGATTTTTAGGTATTTAAATTCTGAGACAACACCAATAAAAATCTTATACGTCTTGTCTTGTCTTGTCTTGTCTTGTCTTGTCTTGTCTTGTCTTGTCTTGTCTTGTCTTGTCTTGTCTTGTCTTGTCTTGTCTTGTCTTGTCTTGTCTTGTCTTGTCTTGTCTTGTCTTGTCTTGTCTTGTCTTGTCTTGTCTTTGTTTCAGAGTTGACACATTGCAGGTGGAGGTCCCACTCCCAGTACAAAACCTTTGCCAATACTGCACCCTCTACCTGCATGAATGGTGGCCTTCAGCATTGAGGTCATGTTATAAAGTGTGGAAGGTACCCTCCAACAGTTTAAAAAGTGCCATTTACATACCTGGATGGAGTATTTGTGTGATTTGCATATTAATTCTGCACAGTTGATTCCAGACTTGACCAAGCTATGTCATCTGAGACCATACACACACAATCTTTGTCTCAATTTCCCAAGATTGTACATGTGTAATGTAGTCTGTATCAAGAAAGCAAAAAAAACAGGATTGTGATTTTTGGGTATTTAAATTCTGAGACAATACAAATAAAAACCAAATACCATATTGTCTTTTCTTTGTTTCAGAGTTGACAGAATGAAGGCGGAAGTCCAAGTCCTGAGCCTTTGCCAATACTTCACCCTATAACTGCATGAATGGTGGCTGGCAGCATGGAGGTCATGTTACAAAGGGTGACAGGTACCCACCAACAGGTGTGAAGCTCCATGTCTATACCTGGCTGGAGTGTTTGTGTGATTTAAATATTAATCCGACACATTTGATTCCGGACTTGACCAAGCTATGTCAGTTGGGTTATATATACCCTGTCGGCTGTGTCCAGGAGGGGTTTATTTCATGATTGGAAACATGTTTTGTGTTCTCCTTATCTTGCCTACTCTAGTTTTTCTTTTTCAAAAAGCTGGGTTATTTAAAGCCTGGAACTCTGGAAAAGGGATGCTATCTCCCCTCCACTGTTTATCCCACTCCAATTGAAATTAAAATTATCTGAATATCAAACAAAATTATTTTTTATTCAATTTAGGCCAAGTCATGAGTACCTCAACTTCACTGCATGCACAACGTTCCATACAAGCAGTTCTACTATTATTAGTAATTCTTGTCAGTATACAAAACATTCTAGCTAGTATAACAAAGACAAATTCTCAAACCATGGTTGATATTTTCAATGACGTGCCTGGTTCAATTGAAGCTGTAGAAAATGAAAATAAATGTCCTAATTGTGGAAAGGATTTGAAGGACTGCCCAACAAGTGGGAAGAATTGTAATTGTTGAGTATTGTTAAGATATCTAAGTAAAATAAATAAATAAAAATTCAAGAGGCTGATTAACTGAATTTTCTGTTTAAAAAGAGAAATAGCAGGGCTGGGATGTTTTATCTCAATCAATCTGATCAATGTTGAAGAAATCTTATCACTCATCATCAAGAGTTCTCAAATATAAGAAATCCACAATCAGAAACCAGTCACTTTTCCAAAGATAAAATTTTGCATCAATGGGCCCCCAAGGGAGTTAAGTGAAGAACTAACATGTTTTGAAAATGATGGATTTTTCCAAACCAGTCAATTCAATAATGTAAAATTTGGTTCTATTTGATACCCCCTTATGTAAAATTGCTTTATCTTTTCTTAGTCTTGATTTTACTTTTTTGCATGGTAACTCTGTATTACCTGCTGTGTTATTTTTCAATGACTTGATATGCAACTAACAAAAGGCTCCTTTGATTCATTCTTTTCATTATCCTTTTTTTACTGCATTCATGTTATCTCTCAAGGTCATTTTGTTTCTCTTGTTTTGAGACTCCACTATTCAATCTCTCTCTCTTTTTCAACTCACATGTCACTCCTTTGTCACCGGTATTCACTCCTTGTTTTTAGTCATTATACTCATTTTTCTTGGAACCACAACTTGAACAACATGTATCTAGACTACTTTAGTGTCTAGATAAAAGTTTGATAATTAAAATCATCAGTCCTGACCAAACATTTCCTCTGAGTATCACTTGAGCCACCTCAGAGTCTTACATTGAAATTTGAAGATACTTAAGCCTCCTTGACTAAGTTGAAAGGTAATCTTTACAGACCTTGTGCAAATTTGGCATAGCCAACTTTTTCCTCATCTACATTACATTTCATCATACTGTGTTGTTTATGGGCTTCTTTCCTTTATTTCTTCTGGGTCCTCACTTTTTTTTCTTTTTAATTTCTGGCTTCAGTCTCTGTCTCTGTCCAAATAGAACATTTTGACGAGATGAAAATGGTTTCCAACTGGTGTTTTGCATCAGAATCTGCCTAGAATTCCTCCTAGTTGATTACATTCACTATAAACTGAGGGCATGTTTTTTCCCTGAGATTATTTGAGAGTTTGAAGCTTTCAGACTCAAACACCAGAGGTGGCTTGGACTGACCCTTCTTCCTATGTGTTTCAACAGGCTAAAAGTGGATGTTGACTGGGTTGAGGGGGATGATAAGCAAATTGTTCCTGGGTATTTCATTGACTCAAAGGGGGATAAATATCCATTTCAAGACTATAATCCTTTTACACAATCCCCAATTTCTAGCAATCTCAACCTTTTCAAATTATCACATCATTAGTTGCTTGTATATTCCAATTCCTGGCTCAAGGCCACACCATCTTTTAAACCAGTTTGCACCTTCATCATTCCATCACTGCATAAACTAAGTCCCTCTATGGTCCCCCCCCCCCGTGGTCCTCTCAACAACTCACTAAAATGGGAGTTGGAGCTCCCATTTTTGGGAGTCATTTAATCAAGTCCCTAAAAATATGGGAGTTGCCTGTTTGAAAAGATACCTTTGGGAGTTTTGGGAGTTGTTGCCATCTACTTCCCTCACAAAGAGGAAAAAAAAAGGACAGCCTTGGATATCAAGCCCCAAAGAAACCATACCAATGAAAAAATGATATCATTCATTGAAAAAAAAAAAAAAAAAAAAATACACAAAGCAAGAAAGAGGAAAAACAAGGGATTATAAAGGCAGCAAACCATAAAAGGGTGATAGAATGAAACAAACAGTTCAACATCAATAATGAAATAAAAAAAGCCTTCATTCAAAAGAACAAAAGAAAGAATTAAATTAAAAAAAACAAAAGAATTGAATGGAAAAAAAAATAAACAACAGAATAAAAGAAACAAAAGGCAGAATAAAAACATTAAAAAAACCTAGTATTGCCTGTTGTTGTTTTATTCAATTCATTCTTTTGTTCTTTTGAATGAAGGCTTTTTTTATTTATTTATTATCTACTTTGGCAGAATGAGATCCAAGACTTTTTGTAGTGAGTGTCCAGCAGGGGACTTACAGTTAAGTTTTTGGGGGTATTCAAAGTTAGACCACCAATGCAAAACAAATTGATCAACAAATTCCTACGTATCAATGAATTGAGGCATGGAATAGAATAGCAGTTTTATCCAAAAAAAAAATTATCTGGAAGAGGACCATCTTTTGATTTCAAAACCAGAAGGATACACAAAAAGAAAGTGTAAAAACTGAGATGAAAGCAAAAAAGATGAATGATTAAACAAGAGAAATGTTGTGTAGATGTACTACTAGATTGGTGCATTTATGAAGTGTTTGTTATAGAATTGATGCACTTGTTAATATAACAAACTTCATCACATAAGATGTATTGTTGATGAACAGCAAACAAGCAAATCACCAGAGATTTTTTAAATATATGTAAACTAAACATCACCCACCAAAAAAAAAAAAAACAAGCTACAAAAAATGTGTATAAATATATATAACTGAGTGAACATAAGTGTTTGTTCTTCTTCATCTTCTGGATCAAAAAACCCCAGACAAAAAATTGAAATGAAACCCAAGAGAAACCAATTTAAAATGAGTCAAAGCCCAAAAAGCCCCCCCCCCAAAAAAAAAACAAGCCAAAACCTCACTCCATTGATCCTATCACCATTCAAAACCCAAACTAAAAAAAGAGGAGAGTAAGTTGATATCAAGAGAAGCAAGATATAGAGAGAGAAAGTGAAGGTGTATGAACCAAAGTGTTGAAGTGAGACAGACAAACAGAGAGAGAAAGAAAGAGAGGAAGAAACAAATGAAAATGAAAGAGAGGGCCAAAAGATAAGATAGTGATAACCAGACATTAATAGAAAAGAAAAGGAAAAAGATTAAAGAGAAGAACCAGAAAAGAAAAAGGAACATGAGCCCCGCGTGGTTGGCGAACCCCAATCAAGCCAATTTGCGACCTCTGCCTCTACCGGCCCAACCGCCGTCTCTAGGAGGAGCGACGAACTCGTTAGAATGCCGTTTAGAGCCTCTTCCAGATGCATGATTCTGAGGATGACCATGATTCTGAGGAGGGCCATGATGATGATTAAGGAAGACAGAATTAGGAGAAGAGGGGGGAACAGGATGATGATGAGGATGATGATGATGGTTAAGAGAAGAAGCGGAAGCGGAGGAGGAGGTTCTGCGACGGGGGTCCTCATGCGGGGCGGGAGGACTCGATCTGATGACGTCGCCCATCCGCATCAATCCTTTCCGGTGTTGTTTTTCTCTGGAAGGATGGATGAACGGGGCGGGGCGTTTAAGAGCCGCAGTAGGAGAAGAAGAAGAAGATGGATGATGCTGATGATCTGATGTAGGCCATCCTGATGACTGTTGTTGTTGTTGTTGTTGAGACTGTGGGTAAGAAGGGTGTCGGACGGAAGGCGGCGGGGAGGAAGAAGAGTCGGAGACTGAGGGTGCAGCTTGGTGTGCAAAGTGTGGGTTCAGGGGTAGATTGGCTGGCCGGGGTGGCGCGGGTAGACCGGGATGTCGTCCGGTATTTGTCCGGGGCTCCGGGGCCACACTGGGATGGTGCACGGGCTGGTTGATCGTAGATGCCGAGGCCGGGGCGAGATGCAGGTTGGTCGGCTGGATCGCGGTCGGCTGGGGATGGCTTAAGATCGGCTTGAATGCTTGTTGGTGCGAGAGGAGCGCCTGAAGTGCACTGACATCCACCTTCGATAGGTCGAGACCATTCAGAGCAGGGGTCGATGATGATGAGGGAACTGAGGGTAGTTTCGACTGTTGAGGTTGGACGTAAGGCACAAAGCCTGGTGGTGGTCCGGGAGTAGTCGTCGAGACAGATGGAGCTATTTGGGAGAGTAAGGGAAATGCTAGTTGGGATGAGACTGATGAGATTTTAGAGCTAAGTGATTGAAGCAGGGGAATCGGATCGATGGGCGCCGATGGATTGGGAGGTTGCCGAGCTGGCAAAGAGTAGGATGAGGAGTTAACCGGCGCAGGCGACCGGCCATGGTTGGATGCCGAAGAAGACAATGACTGTGCTGCGCCGACCAAGTTTTGCGCGGAACTGGTGAGTGGTGGAGCTACTTGTACCTGAGCTTGGTGATTCGGTGTTGGCACGGACACAGAGCTGCTGCTAGTCGAGGGATTCATGAGGGTGGGTGCTGACTTCCAGGCGGAAGGGGCCCCACCTTTCGACAAGACCATCACCGCAACCATCATATCCCTCGCTCTGGGTGTGGACTCGGGAATACTCACATCGTCTAGGAGTTGGACAAATTCTGGGAGAGGATCTTGCCTCAAGATGGGTACTAGATAGATATCCCGTACGGCTTGCTTCGCCTTTTCATTAACCGCTACTACCGCATGCCTCCCCTTTTTCGTAAAGAACTCTATCAGATTTTGCTGGTGTTGAAGGACCCGTTCCGGACTGGGTAGCTCAGGCGGTCCATTTAGATTTGGCTTCAATTCCAAGAGGATCAATTCTCGAGAAGGTGCAAAGTGACTTTGTACAAGATAGTTCGTGGAATCTTTTACTGGTAGTCTACCAGCGACAGCCATCGTGTCAGTTGGAATTAATTTACTCCATGTAAGTCCATCCGTACCAATTGGGCGCCCGCCAACCTGGACTGCACAAGCTGCAAATCCACCAACGTCTACAGTCATCACATTGCCCGTCCAGACACTTGGCATGGCTTGAGCATTGCCAGTTGACTGAGTTTCTGATTCCTTGATGATCGATGAGGGCTCTCCATTCGGTCGATTCTGAGTTCCTGGTTGTTGATCGCCATGTAGAATCGCCTCTAAATCTGCATCGACCCCATTGGCTACAACAAATGGATCATAATCATCCGGTAAGTTTTTCTCTTTGACCTCTGCTTTCACCGTTCCCGAACCGTCTCCTGTCGCCACCTCGCGTTCTGGAGTATTTTCCAGGTCCATACTATCATCCGAGTCTCCTTCTTTGGCCTCTTTTTGGACCTCACCTCCAGCCGATTGAGACTTTGTTGCTGTACTATCACTCCCTGAAACAGTTATCTGAGGAGGCGGAACAGATCTGATCGCTGCGAATACTTTCTCCAAGTCGAATGAGCTGAGTAAGGAGGGAGTGATGCATTTCGTCGTCGCATTCTCTGGATGAGAGGGGGCGGCGGAAGGTGATGACTGGGAGCTTTCGACTGGCTTATCTGGACCAGCACTGGTTTCCGGCTGGGTGACGGAGGGTGGATCTGGCAGTGGAATTTGCTCCAGAGATTGGGAAACAGGCACCTGAGCTGGTGGGGGAACTGAGGGACTCGATGGATTTTCCCGGCTTTGGTTCAATTCGATTGGGGTTTGTTCTGTGGTGGTGGCAGACTGTGGCTGATCTACAGCTACATGATTTTCAGCAGCTTTTGACGGGGGAAGGCTCCCGATGATAGGTTCATCTGCCTGGGGTGAGGTGGTGGGTTCAAGGACGGGATCCAGGGTTTTGACGCTGTCATGTAATGAGCGTTGACGAACCTGCTCAGCTAAAGCTTTTTGTTCTGGGGTTTGCAAGTCCTCGTTGGACATGAAAACGATTAACTTGGGGGAAAGTTCCAAGGAACTCAAACTGTTGAGAAAGGCAGGATTGTTTTTTAGGTTGAAGAGCAACGACCTCAGTTTGGTCATGTACTGCCGTCGAGGCACTTTTTGGTTTTTGGCATCAAGCTCGCCAAAACTTTCGTATAGCTCTAATTCGACGGCCTCGGAAAATCGCATGGCAGCATCCTCATCTTGCTTCAAATTTTTCGAGAAGATAGGCCCGAACAGTTTAAAGAATTGTTCGATGCATGCCTTTCGAGTTTTTTCGACACCCAACACAGGTGTTGATGGTGTCGAGGGGGTCGTACTGGAGGGGGTACTGGTCGAAATTCGAGGTTGGGTAGAAGGACGGGAATCTACGCTCGTAGGAGTCTGTAGTAGTATGCACCGCCATTGAGGGTAGGTAACGTCATTAGTCAGACACATTTCAACTCGGTCATCTCAGTTGGACTTACCTTGCGCTTTCTGTCAACCGTTCGCAAAGACTCTTCGCCCGTGAAATCTTCATCAGAAGTCTCTCCTTCGCTACTCAAACCTTCGGCCAGTCTCTGTTTCCGGCGAGTTGCTTTGGTAGATTGTGGTGGCTGGACGGTAATGCTCTCAACCGATGATCGACTTGGACCGTCGGGTTGGTTGTCCTTGCTGGAATCGCAAAGGACCTTCTTCTCGACTTCATGGGAAGTAGGCACGGACGGAGCTGTTTCGTGCTTCACAGCTTCCCGGGAAGTAGGCACAGGCGGAGCTGCTTCATGCTTAAGATCGACCGGTTGGGGACTCGGAAGACGAGGGACCGTTTCGGCAGTCGAGTCCCCCGGAGTGCCGTCCTCAGATTTGGGGATAGTTTCAGGAAGGTTCTCCGAAGTCCGATTCGACGAATTTGGTATCAGAGCGACACTGGGAGTTTGCTCAGGCTGTGTTGTCGGGTTTTCTTCGTCGATCTCTGAACAAATCATGCGAGAGTACAATAATTGGGATCAGCATTTAAATCACGAAATGTATATGATGCGCAGTTGGGCCCATGTTGAGGAGTAGATAGACCACTGTGTGTAATCAACGTGCTCCTTTTTCGGTTTAAAGATTTACGCAAGCAGCACAAGCGGCTCAAGACAGCAAGTAAGATCTGCTGTCTTTCCATAGCTCCATCCTGATCATTAAGCATTCTGGGCTGGGAAGACTTTGTGCGAAGAAGACGAGAGCAATTGCCAGATTGAATGAAAAAAGTAGTACAGACTAGTTGTCTTAGGCAATCCACCATCACCTCATTAAGGATTCAATCTTCCAAGAGAAGCTCAAGTGATGACAGCGAAATGTAGAGAAAGCGAGGGAGTTTATGTAGAAGTTAAAGAAAAACGACGCTCCCTTCGCCAGGTAGGAAATGCGTAGAATTGGAGATAAAGATAGAAATGTAGGATAGGAGAACTTACTCCGAGTGATTCCATTTCCACTTGCGTTACAAAGCTGGCAATAAAACGCTTCGATCTTTTGAGCCTCAGTGGGATCCAAGTTGATACAAGAGAAATGGAACCTGGAAAATGAATAAAACCGTATTTTGGCCAGGTTAGTTAGTCTGATGACGATGAGTTGTACAGGGCGGTTTTGTAGAGATTATTAGATAGGAAGTGCGGAAGGGACGGACCAGTTTTCACAGCCTTCGCATTGAATCATTGGTGTATGATCGTCGTGGCCAAGACAGATGCAATACAAAACATCCGGATCCTCTTCGGTTTCGGTATCGTTTGAGTTTGAAGGCTGAGTAGCATGGTCATCATCATCATCATCATCTTCTTCTTCTTGTGGTTGTTGAGGTTGTTGTTTTGAGTTAGTCCTTCTCCTCTGATTACCGAGTTTAGCAGCCTCTTCCTCGACGTCAACGTCGCCGTTCGAGTTGATCGTTGCCCGTCCCTTCTTCCGTCCGATCTTGACCTTAGCTCTGACGGATGATGATGAGGACTGGTTCCTGCCAGTGGCGGCGGTTGTTTGGTTGGACGATCGACGGGCTGATTTGTTTGATGAGTTCTTGGACTGATCGCCGGATGAGGAGGGTGTGGTTTTGGATGATGAGAGGAGGAGGGCGGCTTCTGCTATCTCCCTGGCCTTCTGGGATGGTTTGCGTATCCGACTGCTGCGTGTCATGATGAATGTGTTTCCAATGCTTCGTTTTCCCCTCCAAGTTGTTCAAGCTTGTCCTGTGTCTCGATCGATCGGAGACCTGGTTGTTTTCTGTTAGGCTGTTGGTTGTTTTCTGTTTTTATTTTGTTTTTTTATTTTTTTGGTGTTGGGTTGGGTGGTGGTGTTGGTTGAAGTTGGGGTGATGTGTGAGTGGAGTGCTGTGTAGCGAGTGGTGTGTAGGTAGACCCACTTTTAAGGTTTCAAGGGGGGTTACGCTGGCATCATGTATGTCGCGGGGGGCCACCACCCGCAAGCAAAAAAGGCCCAGCTGGGTCACCATCAAGTCCATCTCGAGTCTCAAGGGTGTGGGGGGAACTTTTGAGGGATGAGATGCACCAAACTTTGACTGAGACTCATGTGAATCGCATCCAAGAATCAAGAATATTGAAAGCAACAAGCCAACAGACCGGAAGGCAGAACTGCAACACCCCCGAAGGAACACTACCCCATTATTGGGCACAACAAGCTTACATTTCGGTCTGGGTCCGGTTCAGAGATGCCCGTCGACTCCATCGACAACAGAGCTCAAACTTGTACAAGTCTCACGTGGCGGGGCAAAAAAAAAATCAAGAGAAAGAAGCGATGCATTGCGGTTGATGATAACAGAGTCAGTAAGGAGCGACGACGAAGCACAAAATTGTAATGAGTGTGTGTAGGAAAGCATAACGAGTGTGGGATCCCTTGGATGGGGAACATTAGAACACATAGGAAAAACAAATAAGGGGGTGATTGCTGAGGACTTCGGGATGAAGAAGACGAGGAAGGAACGAGAGCAGGACACTCTAAGCCTTGTTGTCCTTCTGGGAGAGGCAAGACACAGACAGACCAGATGAGCACAATGATCAAGAGTCATCAGAGAAGAGATGAGAAGACAGACGTACAACTTGGTTGTCCTTGTTCTTGGCGATCAAAGTGGAGGATGAGGCTTGGTTGGAGCTTGCTTCGTTGGAAGCGGATTGAGAGACTGCAACGCCGCCCGCTGGTCCGTAGCCACTAGCCGCGGTGGTCGATGAGGTTCGGGCGTTGCTCTCGTGGCTGGAAGAGGATTGCGAAGCTGAGAGACCGCCACCGCGGATTCCCGCAATGCCGTTAGCGCCGTAAACTGAGCCTCCCGAGCTGAAGCCATTGGCCCCGAAGGTGTTGATGCCGTTGAACCCGGCTGCTCCCGCGCCAGAGATCAGGTTCCCGTTGTTGAAGGATCCGCCAGTGTTGAGACTGCTCGCACTGTCGGCTCGGTCGTATCCAGTGGATGATGACTGTTGGCCGATCACACCTTGTCCGGGGATGCCGTCATCGTCGACCTGAGGATAAGGCCCGTAAGGAGCATGGTGACCGGGGACGTTCCAGTCAGGAATGTTAGGGTATCGGTGACCTGGGAAGTCTGGGCTAATATTATCCGGGATGGGAATTGGCGTGACATCCGGGTAGGGAATGACCGGTCCGTGAGGGCTGTAGGGGATTCGTCGGTCGGGTCTGTCCGGAATAATGATATCAGGGGTAGGGCCGGGGAATGGTCGAGGGTATGGGAAGTGACGGTGAGGCAAGTCATCGGGAACGATTGGGTGAGGGCGAGGAAGGGGCCCTGGGCCGGGGTGTGGCTGAGGGTGGGGATAAGGAATGACCGGTCCGTAAGGGTTGTAGGGGATTCGTCGGTCGGGTCTGTCCGGAATAATGATATCAGGGGTAGGGCCGGGAAATGGTCGAGGGTATGGGAAGTGACGGTGGGGCCAGTCATTGGGAACGATTGGGTGAGGGCGAGGAAGTGGCCATGGCTGGGGGTGTGGCCGTGGGTCAGGAAGTGGCCAAGGCTGGGGGTGTGGACGAGGGTCAGGCAATGGCCATGGCTGGGGGTGTGGCCGAGGGTCAGGCAGTGGCCATGGTTGGGGGTGTGGCCGAGGGTCAGGAAGTGGCCATGGCTGGGGGTGTGGGTGAGGGTCGGGATAAGGCCGAGGGTCAGGATGAGGCCGAGGAATATTGTGCCCGTTGCTGCAGTGGGTGGTGCCCAGCAAGTTGAGGTTCAAGGCGCCTGTCTGGTCGGCACAGCTCATGTACGAGCGGGTGTCGGCGTCGCCTTTCCCGGTGCCCTGGGTGTCGGCCCTCTTGTCAAGCGGTAAGGCTGACGAGCTCTGCAGGAGAGCAAGGGAGATGGCAATGAGTATAAACGAGCGCATGGCGAAAGTCGGGCTAATGGAATGAAAGTGGATTGTGTGTGCAGTGGTGGGTGTGTCCGAATGGTTGAGTGGAATGGAATGGGGAGTCCTAGACGGCGACAGGAAATGGGTCCCATTAAATATCACTTTGATCCCCCAGTCCATCTTCATCTGAAGACTGATAGCTTCTTGAACGAGGATCGCAGCATTCTCCTTCGGAGGATGATCCAGACGTAAGATCACAGAACCGGCGTCTGTCATGGATGCTCATGAGATGACTGCGACGTTGCACATCAGCGCTGTCTGTAAAAGTCCATCCAAGTTGTCGGACAACTTGGTTCCGAAGAGAAGAGTCGACGGCTCGGTGCCTGATGGAAATGTCTCAATACTGTCGATTGACCATCGGTTGGGTTCTTGGAAAGAGGGTGGACCACGGCGGAAAGCGGATTCGGAGACCGGTCAAACTTCTTGACAACAGCTCGCAAAGTACATATTTCCACTCCGGTTCCGGAATGGACATTTCGGAATTGCTGTTTAGTGCTCATCATCGGCTTGTCAGAACGGAAGGGGACATACATCGTACCTCAGCCGGTACGTACTTGGAATCCTGTGCCGTACTACTGATTGAGTCCGGCAGGAATCACCCTGTCCCCATCAATCTTGTCAAGTGAAAGAATTCTTCCTGCTCGTCCTGTCCCCCTTCGACTTGCGAGTCCAAGACACATAGACGTTGAGGATAAACCTGTGCCGGGTTAAGAGGCGGAAAACAGTGGCCGCACCGGGCGACGCAAAGACCGGGTGGGGGGCGGGGAGTGTGCAAAGGCTGTCCGGACCCGCCCCACTCCGTCTCAAGGCAGGCCGCCCGGTCCGGGTCGGCCTGGGAATTTTGCTGGGTATTGGGGCAATGGGACATAAGAGCATCTCTAACGGTCCGGGGGGCAGTTGACTCGCGTTCCCCGGGCCGCGACCACATTTCACAGAGGTCGCGGGCCAGCTCCAATTATGGACTGGCACTTTGAATGGCCATCAAAGACCCAAAAGATCCTCTGATGGATGTGACGAGAACAACATTTAACACAAACCAGTCAGACAGCACAACATGTCTTTCTGTGTGACTTTTTTATCTTTCACTTTGCTGCCTCTTTCTTGGTTTCATTTTCCGTCTGTCGCTTGTTTCCTCCTTCTTGGTTTTGTTTTCTCTCGCTTGTTTTCCTCTTTCTGGGTTTTATCTTCTCTTGCCCGCTTTTTTCTTCTCTTACTTGTTAGTTTTTTGCTCACTTTTGTTGTTCTCAATTTATTGAATAATATGACTTCACTTGTAAAATAAAACGATCAAAATGACAAAGTGATGAGTCGGACTCGTGAGTCGTTATGGGACAACATCATAAATGATGTGAGAATAATTTAGAAAGTGAGTGAGGAAAGCTGTTTCTTCTTCTTCATCTTCTTTATCGCTGTCATCCTCCTCGGTATCATCGCTTTCATCTTCATCATGATCATTTTCCATCTTCTTCCTTGAAGAACATTGAGTTGGGGTTTCCATTGGTGTTGTGGGAGTCCTACGGATGAGTGGAAAAGAAGTGATGTGAATGAAAAATCTGGTGAAGTCGGTTAGAAAAGAAGCGATCTGAATGGAAGATTGGGTGAAGTCGAGTGGAATGAGGTGAGTGCGGCTGGGAGGCAAGCCGCAGAAGTTGGCGGGTGATCAAGGGTTTGACTGCCCCCGGCGATGTTTCCAGAGTCAGACTGCAGGACCGTTTTTTTTTTTTTTTTTTTTTTTTTTTTTTTATTAAAGTGCTATTGATTTCACATATCGCACTATCTATCTAACATGTGTTATGGATATACAAAGTATCTTCTAAAACTAGACTGTAACACGTCATGGATCATAGAAAGACGAGGCTTGTAATCATAATGAACTAGTTGGCGTGATTAGAGTGAAGAGAAAGGGAAACAGAAGAGAAGAAAACAGAAAATGAAGAGGAAAGGGAGGAAAACAGGAAAAGAGTATCTAGAAAGAGATTTGAAAACTAGAATTCGCCTAAGTCAAAACATCGATAGTTAAGAAGATTGAGATGAGTATGGAGGCACTGACATGCCAAACGAGCCAAAAAAAATAAAAAACACATTTTGATGCCTCTGAAGTGCCAAACAAGCCAAGGAAAAATCAAAATCACATTTTCACAACCAATCTTTTGAAATACATACCTCTGACATGTGCATACTGGCCAGGCTGTATTCAATTGCATAGGGATGCCAAACATGGTATGTACCAAGACAAAACAGCCATTACATATGACACAGAGGGTGGTCCTACATAGCAGTCAAACCAAATGGGATGACGGCCCGGATGGCAAATGTATCCTCTAAATACCAAGGGATACTTGAGGGGCACTCGAAGAATGCTGAGGTGAAGGACTACATAGTGCTTGATACAAACATCTTTTTTGGCTCCAAGGGTACCGGGCCGCGATTGCGGACGTTGGGACCGGTAAGATCTCTGTGGGACTCAGCAAGATTGAGAAGGCCAACAAGCCTTGCAACATCATCGGCTCTGGCGCTAGCTTTGAAGGAACACATCAGACGAGGTTCTTAGCTCTCAGGCTGCTGCCGTCGGGGCCACGGTATCGACCTTCAACGGGCCACGGTATCGACCTTCAATTACCCGGTTTCTGCTATACATACTGTGTAGGGAAGCACAAGCACAATATGGATGCCCGTCAAAGGGGGCTGCAGGGAAGTGCATCATTATCCAGGGATGTTTCAGTGCTTGTTTGGGTAGTTTGGTCGGTTGATTTGTCCAAAAAATGGGTTTTCATTTATTGATTTTTTTGGCACATTTGGCACACCAGTGCCTCCATAGATGAGAGAGAAAGGACAGAGACAAACTAATAAGAAAGAAACAATTTAGTTGTTCTGGAGTTCGGGAACCCAAACCCTTTCTCCCATCCCACCATTTGATTGATTGCTCTAGCTGCTTGTAGGCCCCCACAACCTGAAGCGAGTTAGTGTGTAGCAAGAAAGGGGTTCCTCTGGTTATCCCCCAATAACCAGAGGCCCGTCGGTCTTCAGGGAGTCCGAGTAAGGGTCCCTAGTCCTTCACATGTAAATACATTTATTGGGGAACGGTCAGAAGAAAAATGAAGACTGAAGAAAAGAGAAAGAGACTTGAAATCTTGAAATAAGAGATGAAACTTAAAGAAGAAACAAAAGAGATTAAGAAGATTCTGTTGTCATGATGTATTTCCTAACGTTCGGGAATCGGTTAGTGGCGAGTATGAAGTTGGAGACTTCGTTCATGGCTAATGGGTTGTCCATGATCGACCGAAAAGAGTTTGGGTTAACTCGACACTTGAGAAGTCGGAGTTTCCGTTTCAGGACCGCCCGTTCTTTCTTATATCTGGTGCAAAACATGAGAAAATGTGCTGCATTTTCTAATACAAAGCAATTAGTACATCTCGGATCTAAGATATTTTTAATTTTGAAAAGGAAATTGTTTAGTGGGGCAGAGTCTGCTCTTAGTTGAAAGATGGTCGCTGCCAGGCCCTTCTCTTGACCGTCTAGCGCCTGCAAGAGTTTAGTGCTATTCTTGGAGAAGACAAAGCGATGGGTATCTTCTTCCGACCAAACTTCCGGAGTCTTGAGTTGCATTCGGCAGGTCTGCTTGAGTTTGGCCAGGCTCATCGACACTTCTGTTGATTGATCGGTGCAATCGGTTGGAAGTGGTTCTCCTAAAGCAGCTGCCTTGGCAAGGGAATCTGCTCTCTCATTAGCCGCAATTCCTTCATGGCCTGGACACCAATACAACCGAATTGTGCGGCCTAGCAACTTCATGTGAAAGAAATTATCAGTATATAACTTCTGTCCTGGAGCTAGGGATAATGGGTCCGCTGAGCGTATTAGAGCTCCCTGGTTGTCACTAAATATTGCTATGTCCGTGAAAGAACTCAAAACGTCAGCCTCTAAAATCTCTTGAGCCATGAGTATGGCAAGTCTAATCCCAATCAGTTCAGTTTCGAAGTTAGACAATGAGTCCGCTGGTTTCAGCCTGGCCGCGGTGCTTTTCCCTGAGGGGTGAGCCACTGCTGCTGCCCCTGCACCTTTGTCCGGTATCCATGATCCATCAGAGAAGATGACCAGCGCCTTCCGTTGGATTTCTTGTTGTAGCTGTTGGGGTATGCGTTGTGTGACCTCTGCTCGCTTGTCTGTTAGGTTCTGTATTTGGGAGATAGGGTTAATCCAAGGGAGAGCTGGAACAGGGCAAATAGTCTCCAGTTTCCCGATTGGGAAACTGTATTGGTGAGTAGGGGCAATCAAGAGATGAATTGGGCTCGGAAAGGGAGGCTGTTTGGCAGTCAGTTCCATTTGTAGGATGTGTAGCACAGGGTGAGTAGAAGGGTATGTCAGGGCTCGGAGGATGTAAAGGTGTGAGTTGCGGAGATGAATGTCCGTCGGAGTCGATAATCCACTGCTCTGTCGAACAAACACTATGGGGGTTTGTCGAAACAGCCCTGTGATCAAACGACAAGCTCGATGATATAAGCCGTCTAGAACTTGTGCCACCGACTTAGCATTCTTTCTATTGTACCAGACAATACTTCCAAAAAGGATTCTAGAGTACAGGACCGATATGACTAATTTCCTAGCCAAAGCAGTGTTTAGACCGTAGTTTGACTTAACGATACTTTCTAGCTGCATGATAGTCAGGTCTCCTGTCAATTTCACTTTTTTCAAATGTTCCGAAAAAGTCAGCCGTTGATCCAGGATTATACCTAACCATCGAGTTGATTTTTGGAAAGAGTGAGTGTGACCGTCAAATTCAAAGGTAGGAGGTGTTAGCGATTTGCAAGAGAACATCATCAGTACTGCCTTTCTAGGGTCAAATATAGCTCCAAACTTTTGACCCCATTTAAGCGATTGGGAAGCATCTTCTTGAAGCATACTAATTGCCCGGTCCATCGAGCTAGCTGCTGCCAGGTGGACCACATCGT